CAGTTTTCACCGTGAAGTTACCAACATGTTTTCCCCACCTCCCCCAAGAAATGTACTCAGCCCAGCGTTCTTCAACAATTACATGAATAAGTCAAAAGGATTGGGTGAACAAAGACATAGCGAAGTTTCCTGGTAACAAAAACCATTTCATAATAACCCTTACTAAATGTTAGTGCAGAATTGCAAAGCAAGTTCTTCATGAAATTGGTAATAAAACAGCAGATAAAGTCTAGTGTAAATAAATACAAAATAAATGTGGTAAAAAATAACTCCATGTCATAACAATGTGGCAATTACCGTACAACGTAAGAAAAAATCTTTTTCTACACAGTTTTTGAAACAGAATCACTTCAGAGCTTAGCGACGGTCAAAATATGCAAGACTTAAGAGTACTCATTACTATGTCATGCAGAAATTGATGGTAAAACCTCATCTTGCCTCGTACATGCAGTCATAAACACCCTAACTTTTGGGTTATTCAGAAAAAGCAGAAAAAGTCGGAGAATAGCACCAAGAACTAACCACAGGTTAGGAGAAGTTACTATACAAGCAGAGACCAATAGATGGTGATTCTTCAATTTGGTTGAGGCCAGGAGAGACATAAAATGGCATGTAAAATAAGGATGTTTGTTAAAAAAAATAAAGAAAAATTGAAGTACATCAGTAACAACCAATCATTACTATTTAGCCTACAGGAATATGGTGGCAATTGGTTAAATCACTGATCAGCACACTTAGGACAAAAATACCAATATTTTTGCCCAGAAACACTTGTAATTGTTCAAAAAAAGTATAAGCAAAGTCAGGGAAAAAAAAAATAAAAAAATCACAACTCGCAGAGAATGAGTCCACCAACAGCTGTATGAACAACGTCCAGGAGGTCAACTCTTCCCAAGAAACCTCCTAAGCCCCCAAGTACTGGGCTTGCCAGGAGGGGATGACAATAAAGATGGCAAAATATACACCCTATGCTTACACTCTTCCTTAAGTATCACTGCTGGACACAATCACACCATCTATACCAACCTGAACAGAGCTTCGGCAAGAGTTGGGAAAGGAAGATCTCCTTTAGCCAGTCTTCCACCATCTCATTTAATTAGCTTTAACAGGTATATACTTAACTATCACCAAATTCCAATTCTATTTAATTGGAAATTGCTTATCTTCATGTGCCTTCGGAAAGTCCAGCCAGTACTGGGCCAACAATTTAAATTCTTAAATAATTTGGTCAATGCATTGTGACCTTTAAAGAAAAAGCCCAGTAGCAGGCTGCAGGCAGATTTAAACATAAATTATCACACTCCAGATAAAAAGAAGAAATGGTACCTCTTGAGGTTTCAACTTTTCTATGTCTGTGGAGAGGTCTGAGCTTTTTCCATGAAGACTGCCATTTTCCTGTAAACGGGTAAGAACAGTTAGGACAAGAACAACATTCTATATTGAAATAATGGAAAAAGAGCACTGATTTTTCAAGTTGAACATGTAAGACAATTGTAACTTATTTAAACTCTGTATGTTAACCACAAGGAATAACCTCGGAATGTAGAAGGCTAAGTGAATCATGTGCCCTGCCTCCGGAGAAAATCTGATCTATATTCTGACAATACAGATCCACACCCTCATTTCAGCTTTTTCAGTCATCCAATCTGGCAGCACATGAAGTAGCAGAACTGCATTCAAAATTCAGAACCTGAGTGCAATACAGCCCATTATTTGAAAGAAAACCAAAAAATAAAGACCATATATCTTACCTCAAATTTATGCATGTAAACTTCATTTAGACTGGTAAATGAAGTCCAGTGCTTTTTCATTAATTTCAATGCAGAAGAGAATTTCCTTTGTTCTACTCTTTTGCAGAAGAACATGGCCATGGGATGAATTAATTTGTGCCTCCTAACCATTACCAATTCTGTATACACACAGTATATATCTCTAGTGTTCATGACTTTTTTTGGGAAAACACAGAAATAGAGTTTTCCTGTAAAAAGGAATTCAGTTTTCTTTAAACTAAAACTGTTGTCATTTAAACAATATCCCAAACAACCATTCTTTATTGCTTCATGCAGGGCCTCTACAGTAAATTGCTGTGTTGGGTTTTTTTTGCTCCCATCAAATTTGTAAGCATACTGAAGGCCTGGGCAAAGATCTGTATTCATCAGCCAAACTCTCTGAATTCATTTGTACAGCCACTTCACATTGATGCTGCATAATACCTATCCTGATCCTGTGGGATAGGCTTTTCTTATTCCTCACCACATGAAGATGATACCCTACATAAAACCGAGGAGATGCACATATTTTGTAATCTTAAAGCCTAGCACCAGAGGCTGACACCTCCTAAGAAAACCCAGCCACACTGGTGTCTCAGAAACACCTGAACCTACCAGCATCCACTACCTGGTCAGTGATCCCATGAGGAACTGCTGCCAAACCGATCCTTCAGGACTGTGGAGCCAACAGCTCACAGCTAAGCTGACCCCCATGGAGAAATTTTGTGGGCAGTCTAATCGGAGACTTGTTCTTAAATTTATCTCATTTAGCAGGTTTTCCAAAAAGAAAATTAGTGTAGGAAGACACTTGTGGAAATATTCAACTTAGAATAACTTTTCACTAGAATTTAGGACTATTGGGGTGCTGTCCCCCATGATTTCTGCTGTCTTTTGACACGGGATTTTTTTTGCTTATGTGAAGAAAACTTTACCACCTCAAATCTACAGGAATAATTTTAATTTTTTTTTCTTTAAAAAGAGAAGGCAAAAAACAGAAAACATTGTTTTGGGAGACAGAGGGAAAAAGTGAACCCTATTACTTCATTTTTAGTTTATAAATCAAGAGAGTTTGCATGCAAGTGTTTGGTCTTCTCTCTAAATTTTATACTGATGCACACAAAGCCATACTATAAAATAATTAAGTTCAGCCACAAATGCAAGTAGGGAAATAAATCTACATGTCAGTATTTTCAAACTCTGTAACTTTCTGAAAAGAATTAGACAGCATTAACTACCAATTGTCTAAAATTAAACATAATTTATAATGTATTTAGTTTGAATTAAGAAAGACCTATTAAAACAGTATGCTCCAGTTTAAACAAAAATGAACATATTTTCTTTTTAAAAAATCCCATAACCATCACAAGCTGTAAATAATTGGTGCTTCAGAATGAACTCTCAGCATCATCTCAAATTACTAGCATGCGAGAGAAAAACCTCTGCACTTAGCCAGCAGAGGAAGAAATATTTCAGTAACATTCTGGGGATAGATCCTATTAACTCTTAACAATATACTTGATTTGGCTAGAATCCAACTGGCTTTAGCTGAAACTGCCCTAACATAAATTATGATTCAGCAAGAATTGTTTGCTGGGAGGGTAACTCCTGCCCCTTGGCTGTGTCACCCCCCAACACCACCACTACCCCCTTTTTTTTTTTTTTTCAATTATGTACTATTTTAAGTCCAAGTTAGAGAGAGGAACATCTGAAACATGTTGGAATTTACATCTATTTCTCCAGAAGTCTTCCACAGGGCTCAAAGCAAACCTACATTTACATTTGCTTGTCTTAATGATACACCCCAAATAGCACCAACTTCTTCTATGGTTCTAACTTCTCATATACCTTTGTTAGAGCACTAACACCTGCTTTTATTAACAGCTTTAAGGTATAATGGTATAGTTTGTGCAGGGTTCAATTCTTGACCAGTGTTTGAATGTTTTAGTCATAATCTTCTGTTAAAGCAAACACCTCCCCCCATGCACAAAAAAAAATTAACAACCCAAAAACAACCAAAAAACCAAACAAATGAAAAACAAACCCCAAGCAATAAGAACACACCCAGCACCCTGACTTCACAGTATTGGAATGTTAGCTGGCTGATCCACTAACAAAAAAAAGGGATTAATATAGCAAATAAATTACAAGCTCAAAATCCAGGTAGGTCAGCTTAATTTATGACTGATTAAAATAGATCGGCAACATCATAAATGAGTGTCAAAACACCAAACAATATGAGCTACTTTAAGCCACGTAATCAGATTTCAGTTCAAATGTAGAAAAAGTATCTAGAGGCTCATCAAATTATGCAGGATGTTTGAAAACAATGTTTCACAGAAATATTTCCACCACCTATGAAGATCTCCAATCTTTTTATTATAATTTATTTACCAAGATCAAAGGAAAAATGAGGAATTCATGATAAACCTTCCTAATGCTTTCTTCCAAAGTCAGAAGAAGGCTTTAACAATATCCAGTGAGCTGGATAAGACCTTGCAGACTATCCACTTCATTCCACAGCAAAAGAAAGCTGCAAAAGAGCTAACGCAGCTCTCTGGCTCAAGAGCACTGAAATCAGAACAGATTATTTAGACTAGGCCCATCAGTTCTGCTGTGTATTTCTAGTAATTCATTCATTAGGTACTTAGCTCACTGGCTTTTTAGGGAGTAGCTATTCATAAAAAGAAAATTGAGAATATGAAAGGGAATGTGATTTACAAGGAAGAAAGCTTGCTTTTGACCACTGAATTTTTTTAAAAGGCTGTATTATTTTAGGCTATTAGGTACTATCAAAAACCTTTAGCTCAATACGCAGGATGGATGAAGCTGGAACGGGAACAGAAGAAAGATATTTAAAGAGAGAAGCCTCTCTCTGACATGACAAATGCACACTATAGCTGGCTAATGACAATGGAAAGTGTTCCCTACGCTTTGCAAATAAATGCACCTTAGTAAGTAATATGACTTCTATTTTCATTTTCTGAATGTAAGGTAAATTAAGCACATGTTCATCATTCCAGTATACAGTTATGCCTTTTCATAAATTCTTAACTTTTACATTTTTTAGCCTTAGAAATCGTAATCACTATAGCAGCATATCAAAGTCTCTAAAAGATGCTTATCTGTGTATTTAAAGGAGCTGACCCTTCAAAAACATTGCCAAATCATTTGCAGATTTTCATTGTACATCCCCAAAAACTTTGCCTAGGAATTATTATGCAGAAACCTTACCCTTGAAGATTCATATGAAGGACTTGGCTGACCACTTGTTCCCCAGGATGTGGCACCTGTTCGCTCATCCATACCTAGCAATAGACAGAAAAATACAGACCTATTAGAAAAGACAGCAAAAGCATAATGTTCTCTGATGCAACCTGAAAGCAAATTCATCCGCTTCCATATATTTTAAACAGTATTTCTAAAAGCAAAACTTAAGATGAACAGTTTCCTTGATAATGAAGCTGGCTACAAAGCAACCTACTCATTTGGACACCTGCAGCTGCTGAAAACAGGAGCATAGAAAGTCAAGAAGATTTGCCAATCTACAGCGTCTGCCCTACCCAATCCGTGAGAAATTAGCATGAGTAACAAAACAAGCACAGCGATGTTAGCGTGGCTTTCTGCACAGCCTGATTTATCCTTCATCTTAAGCACTGAATATTGCAGCACATACTGTGAAATGTATACTTGTTATCAACTTTTTGCTCTCGTCTTGCGTAAGTATTGTAAGATGTGCAAAATTATTTCTCCTGCTTGTTCTTTACGTGACATGCAAGATATTTTAGCGTAAGGGGGGAAAAGGCAAGACAGACTGGTTGTATTTCGATGGCTTTTAAAAAAAAATAAATCCCAACCACCACAGACACTCATGGTGCCTGCCCCAGTAAAACAGGAATCTGTAACGGTTCTTTTAGAATCGGTTCCCTTTATGCAAATCCAGCTTACAGCTCAGAAAAGAAAGGGGAAGGAAAAAATAGGGAGTTCTTTAAACCCTGCATCAGAATAAATATCCCCTGTATGTATACATATAATATATATCTCATGCTCTAGCTAACAATTACAAACACCATTGCTAAAAATTTCTCTAATTACTTTCTACTAAGAATTAATAGGTCAAACCATCTTTAAACCACGTTCCAAAACAACCGACTGCAAAAGTATCTGAATTCCTGTAACCAATTTGTTCATACAGGATAAGGTTACTATTCTAGTAATCAAGTTCCTGATTATCTGTATCACAAGGTATTTTTAACAGGAAGGAGCACTTCCATCCTAAATTGCAGACTTCCACATGCTTTGGCCTACAAAAACACAACTCATTATTTCCCCGTCACTCAAACTCATAAAGAGTTTTGATATACAGCATAAATGCTTTATGTAATGTATAGCATAAAGTATTTATGAAGCTTTATAAAGTAACAATATATAAATACGATCTAAGTGTCACAATTTATACCCAAGAGCTGAGTGCAAGTTACTCCACCTATGATCCCTAAAGCCTGATTTTATACTGAAACTATAAAATTTTCATTTTGTGTCTCAGACTGGCCATACTACAAAACAAAATGCAAGGAAATACTGTAAATAACTGCTTAGGGAGTAATACTATTCGAATAATTTTTTCTTTATGAAATGTGTTTTTTCAAAGCTACAAGATACTGTCGTGACAAAGCCTGCAGAAGGCATGTCAAACAAAGTACAGCACGATCACCCAGGTGAAGGCTACAGACACCTTCTGTGTACTGCAGGAAAGATCCTCACGGCTGGAAATGCAAAACCACCACTACAGTGAGCCAGCAGTCCATGGAAGTTCGCTGCTTTGCAGCTGACAGCTCTGTTGTTGTTCCATTGTAACTGGTCCAGGAGCTGAGTAAAAAGTCGTGGCTGGCACTGACAAAGGCAAAAGTAATCTTTTGGCACAACTGACTCTTTTCTGACAGAAACAACAGCGCTACTAATCCAGTGATTATCATAACAAGTCTGCCAGTGCTTTAGTTTCAAAAGAGACATATAGTGGGGGGAGGAGGAAAAATATCTTCCTGCAAAGCAAAGTGTTTGGGAAAGTCTAAGACACAGTACATTATAACAACCCGTTTAGGAAATACGTCAGCATATAATGGTTATGCAAAGAGTGTTTAGCTGCATGACCCCTAACCAGTAAAACATGTTATCATTTAAAAATTTGAGTCAGTGGGGCATAAGGACCCATGTTAAGGTTCTGCTAAATCAGCACATGTATAGCTAAAAATTATCATAATCCTAAATTTGAATTATGCAAATCAGGGTTTTTAATAAATTGCTCTAAACCAAAATATAACAGTTTAAGATGGGGAGGAAAACCAATCTGTAAACAGTCCCCAGAACTGGTTCTTCTAAAAAAGTCCAGTACAGTTAAGCTGGAGTACTCAGGAGTATCAACACGCTTCCTTTTTCTGCCAGGTGTCTTTCTCCTCCTTTTCATGCAGTTTTTTCACTTCTTTTGCATGCCCAAAACAAGATCTACTCTTTAATCAGAATTTGCACACAAGGCACAAGCATTCACATTTTAGAAGCTCCCTGAAGGCTACGGGGAAGAGAATTTCATTTGCCTGTGAGGAAGAATTTCACTGCCGACAGAACACCGGCACTATGACTTCCCGCTGCTTGACATCTGGATTTGACTTGGAACAAAGCCACTGCTGCCCTCAGCCCCCATCAACATAGCACACACCAAGCAAGCGGAGAACCAGCAACCCTCAACCAGGCCATCAGATACGTGCCTACAGTGACGTTCAAGGAACCTGTTCTGGTCGGTACACTGATGTATTTTCCAATGAAGACACATGAAAAACAACCAAATGCTGCAAGAGACAAGGACCCAGAAAAACTCTAATCAGGCTGGGCACAAACAAACACCACACACTTCAGTGCAGCCAAAGGTAGCTCTATGGGAATGCACCAGAGCATAAGATACGCATTCCAGATGGGAGGAGAGTGGGGAACACTAAGAATGAACACAGGAATCAACCATGGTAATAAATTCAATAGACTCAAAGCAAAAAAACCCAACGTGTCAAAGGGTTAAAGCATTTTCTTGAGAAATGCAAAACAGAATTGAGGAACTAGAGGGATCATCACCTTCATATAACCCCTTCCACAAGGAAATGCGGTGTTCAATTCCAGTTTCCACTAATTCCTTGTGGATGTTAAAGGGCACAGGAAAAGCTTGACAGTTAGCAGAGCACTGAAACCCATGCTGCACATGGAAAGGCTGCAATACCTCAATCTGTTTAGCAATGCAAAGAAGGGGGAAATACAACGACTGCATGTTATAAACACAGATAGATGCAGTCAGGTAGACAAAAGTATAATGAGATTCTACCCCCACTTCCTTTTTTCTGTAGGCATTGAGGATGGAAAGCAACTGAAATGACTCAAGCTGATTTCATAGTTCTCAATCAAAACAGGCCACTTGTACGGCAGATAGGCCACAGTTTATCTAGGGGTAATTCAGTAACTTTGATCTGTTTGAGCAGACCCAGCTGGCAGCCTGTGGCTGGCCTGGCTCACACAGCCCCTCCACTGCAGCCCCTGCTGCTGTGTGTCAGGGAGGGCTGGCAGGACACTGCCCCTGCCCTTGGCCAGCCCTGCAGACAGAGCTCAGCCCCAGCCCGGGAGCCTGGCCAGGCCACAGGACAGGCTGAGTGTTCCTCACTCACCTCGGGAGGGTCAGGCCAGTCACGAGGATGCTTCCTGGCTTTATGCACTGAATTCTAAAAAGGCTTTGCTTAGTGTCACTTTTAAGATGGCACTGTGAGCATTTCAAGCTCTTCTAGAAGAAAAGCTGAAGAAACCTGTTGTCTCATTACTTCTATGTATGCATTCATTCTGAAGAAACGGGTCCAAACATTTATCTAATAAAAAAATTGGATCTTACAACCAAACTGAAATTAAAGTTGTTGTTCTTGCTGGTATAAGACAAAGACAACCACATTTAAAACTTATTTCAAGAGACACAGGCTCTCATGCTCGTGTAAACAAGATAATACACTTTATAGGGTTACCATCTGCTATGATCTTGATCAAATAAATGATTTGACCGAAAAAAAGAATCACATTGTAGATTGTATACTAGGTACTCAAGGTATGAGTTTCTGTCTTTTATAGCTTCTTTATCCAATTTAGTCTCAGAGTAATGATATTCCTTTAGATAAGATTCAACAACTGAAATCAATTGCAAAAAAAAAAAAAAAAAAAAAGAAAAAAAGAGAGCACAAACCATAACAGCATTGATTGTATTTTGCATCTTAGACACCCAAAACAAATCAATCTACCATTAGACCCTATATTGCAAAGGTCTATTGTGAAGTATGATACAACTTATTACCTACAATTGTATTTCAGGTCTAGACTTTCCAGTAAGGGGATGCAAAGAGAAGTTTTATTTGATGGAGAAATACTACTTCAATTAAAAATTTTAAATTTCAACAGGTTAAGACTACTTCTCAGCCTCTTCTTCTTGCTTCCAAGTAGAAAATATTTCTCATTTTATATTAGACTTAATATTTTTAGTAACACAATAAAAAAATTGCAAATCAGATAAACTAGCAAAGAAAAGATGAAAGTTCCACACATTTTTATCACGAAAGGGGCAGGGCGGACAGGGGACAACGCTCAAAACCAAAGGCAGCTTGACAATAGATGTCATGTGGTGGGCTTAAAATATACAAAGCTGAAGACATTAATCAAAATGAGAAGAGAAATGAAACCCGGGCAACCTATCAACAGTCTAACCACTGAAGTGCCATTGGGATAAATTCAGATGCAACATTATAATTAGGTAAAAGACAAACCACTTCAATTTCAAACTATATAAACAGAGTGCTTTCTCTCCAGCCACCCCCAAAGGAAAGGCAAGGGGAACTACTTCAGTCAAGGTGGGGGAAAAGGGAAGAAAGAGACTTACAAATCTCAATCCATATTGCTTCTTGGAGAACGTAACAATTGCCTTTAAGCTTATGGATGTGAAGTTCCCCCCATCCCTCTATCAAAAAGGAAAGTTCCTCCTCAGTAATACCACTTGTGCTTCTTAAAAGCACCAGTGGTCATAGCAGAGCAGTATCCCTTTTTGTATCTTTTGCCCCAGAGAAGATTAATGGAAGTGCAGTGGATATGTCCCAGAAGCACTATCCTGAGTCAGAGTTGTCTGGTACAAACTCTGGACTCCACAATTCCTTCAGGAAACTTCTTGAGATACTTTAATTCAATTGCATGATGCTGCTCACTCTCCTACCTGTACTAAACCGCAGAGTTGCAGACTGAACAC